CGAAGTCTGGAAGAGGAGCGGGACAGGGGTAGGAGCTGGCGAGGGCGGGAGGCCTCCACTGGAGAGAGGCGCGACGGGGGAGGGCTCCGCCTCAGTGGCGGGGGTCGGCGGAAAGGGAGGCGAACGGGTCAGGCGAGAAAGGGGGAACGGCGGCGGCCAACCCTAGCCGGCCACCCATCTCGTGTACGGGCCACGTCTCTTTAGGCCCAACAACCAAGGACGGGCTGTTACCTACCCCAATGGCCCAGGAGGTGGCGCGCGTGCGCGGTAAGGCCAAGATGGCCGAGTACGTGGACCCGGACCTGCAAGCGGGCCTGAACGGGGAAGAGTTGGTGGATCTGGAGCACGAGTTTGATCATGGGCCATGGCTTAACGAGCAGTATGGGTCGGGGGCGGATTATAGAGGGGACGAAGGCAGCCAGGTGGGCCGAACTAGGATGGATGGCGGCCCGGGAGGAAGCCGGAGGGAGTCGGGCCGCGGCAGGTAGTCGGGGCGGCCGGGGGCAGTTAGCCGAACCCAACCGGGCCGGGTCGATATAGGCCGAGCAGGGACGAGTCGGGCCCAGTGGTCGGGCCGAACCCGGTCGAACTAGATAGGTTCAAACCATGGTTGAACCGGTTCAACCGATGGGATACTAACCCAAGCGGGCAGCAGGGGTTACCCAGTTCCTCATCCCCCTTTTGCGAATCAACGGGGCACCGGGAAGGAACCTATGAGGACAGGGACGGGTGATCGGAGGCAGAGGAATGAGTTCGGCCGAAGAACGAGATACCAGGAGGAGGAAGAGGACGACTGGGGGTGCGAAGGGGACCCGCGATTCTCGCAGCATTGTCACAGTGGGGCCCCAAGTTATGGAAGGAATGCCGGTTACCCCCGGGGTGGTGAGGAAGAGGATGACATGGTGTTTAGAGCTAAACCCCCCACCATTGAGTTTCCAAAATTCAATGGTCGTGAGGATGCAGGTCTGTGGTTATACTCAGCTGAATGATGGTACAAGAACCATCCCACTAGGGAGGAACGGAAGGCTCAGCTAGCCTCTTTCTACTTGGAGGGAGATGCACTGCAGTGGTGGGAGTGGATGGAGCGGACCTATGCGGAAGCTCATACGCTAATCACTTGGCCTATGTTTAAGGAGGAGTTGCGGTATCAGTTCGGAAAAGCTGAAGGATGGGCTCCGGAGCACCTGGCCAAGCTGCGCCAGACAGGGACGGTGGCGGAGTATCGGGCTGAATTCTTCAAGCTGGGTAACCAATGCAAGGGCATTCCAGAAGAGACATTGGTGGGCCTATGCATGGCGAGTCTCCGCCTAGAGATTGCGGCCGCAGTTCGGGTATTTGAGCTGGATTCACTACGAGCTGTTTTTCGTCTTGTAGGTAATAAGGAAGAGGAATTGGCTAGCTGGAGGGGAGTGATAGGCCGGTATCAGAAGCCTAGTGGAGGAGGAAGCGGCGGCGGGCCGAGTAGCGTGCCAGGGGTTCCGGCTCAGGGTCCGAGCACGGGAGGGGGTGCGGCGACTGGTCCAACCACCGCGGCAATCCAAGCCAGACCGAGGGCACCGCCTAAAGGGTTTACTTGGCTGTCTCCTGCGGAGATCGAGCAGAAGAGACAGGAGGGAAAGTGTTTCAACTGCGACGAGAGGTTCACCTTTGGTCACAAATGCGGGAAGCCTGATTTAATGTTCTTGGTGGGGCGCTGGGAAGACGAGGCAGAGGATGAAGCCGCAGAGGACCCAGGATCGGGGCAGGATAAGCTTCAACCTTGAGGACAAGGTTGCTTCCCAAGGAGGAGGGATGTTAGAAACAAATAATTTGCAGCTTTTGGTTATTTCGTATTATTGTTGGTCTTTGATAATTGGGGGGATTATTTGGGGTATTTAGCAATAAACAGGGAGTCGATTGTTACTTCTTATTAGTTGGGTAGGAGATAGGGAATTGGCGGATTATATAATCTGCAGTAGGGTGTTATTTTGACATTAAGCAATCAATTACAGAAAACCTAAACCTAATCTCCCTCTCTCTTCCCTCCCTCCTGCGCCGATTCTCTCTCTCTTCTTCTTCCAAAGCTGCGGCAGCAGCAGTCTTCCCCTCTCCCTTTTGTTCTCAATTCCTAATTCCCAATCCCTAGCTCGGTCAATCCCTAATTGATCTAGCTAATTCTCTAATCCCAAACCCGTTAGAAACTTTGTTTCTAACATAGTCTTAGTTCAACTGGTCGTACAACTCGTGAACCCCAGCTACCATATCATAGAACTTACCACCGTCCTCTCACTTACTCTGGTCCCTCGTCAGCAACACGAGACCTAAAGGATCCACAATCTGCTCTTTCAATTGTAAATAGAAAACAATGTTAGAATAAATAACAAATGTCCTTTATATTTGGAAAAGCAAAAGAAAGTCATAACTAACCTGATGAACTAGTAGTGGTCGAGGCTGAGGCACCCCATCAGAGCTCGGGTGGGTGATCCGTGACTCGCTATGACACAACTTCTGAAAAAGGCCAAGTGTAACCAATGAAAGGGAGTGCAGTATAGTGGCTCAAGTAATAAATATCGAATCCACGGGTCTCTAGAGTTACAATTACTCAGCTTGAGTTCATTATCTAGCAAACTAGATTAAGATGAAAGAACTAAAACTACTCTAGCAAACTACAGTTAAAGTTACTCTAATTACAGGTTGGGAACTCACTTAGGTATGATTCACCCTAGCCACTAGCCAGATTAATGATTGATGATCTCTAACCTGTTTCACTTTCATTCACAATGCGGAGAATCCTTGACTAAACCTTGAATCTCGACTAAAGGATCAAGGCCCTCTTGAGTCAATTTCCTAGAGGGACGTATCCTTCTCTAGAACAACCAACCAAGGCGTTTTGAACTAACTCCCTCTATCGAAAGATTTCTCAATCAATACAAAGCAGTGAATCAACCCAGCTCTACCCTTGCAAAAACGCACAAAACAGGCTTTTAACAGCCTGCGTTCGCGATCCCCGGTCAGAATCCCCTGTCGGGTATTTTAGGTCACGGCTGGGGTTTTTGGTTCATGGCCGGGGATTTTTGAAAACGCAACATCTGGATACAGGGGAAAATCCCCTATCAAGTCGAAAAATCCCATACCGGGGATTTTAGTGTCACGATAGGGCCCCCTTCTGTTTCTCAGAGAAGCCCGAAACCAATTTTCCCCTATCTTTGATTCTTCGTTTCTCCCTCGTTCGAACTCCAAATCAGGTGCCGTTTGATCTCAGATACTCGTAGTCTCGTCCTCTTTCTTCTCATGACAATATTACATGATTATATGTTCACAAACGGAGGTAGAAATCTATTCTTCTTCAAGTCATACCCGAGTTTCTTCCCCCGAGTCGCCAATTGATCGCTGATTGACTTGAAACTTGCGCCTACGCTTCACTTTATGTGCTAGGCCTGAAATGTGACAAAGGAACACAACCTAGCGTAAAATAGGCCAAAGAAGCGATAATGCAAGCTTAAACGATCCTGAAACTAAGGGGAAAACATGTGCAAATATCGAGTCATCAATCCGTGGGTGCGATCTAGTCAGAAACCAGTCAACATCTCTGATTACTCGATATTTGCACATGTTTTCCCCTGTGTTTCCTGATCGGTTGAGCTTTAATTATCACATCTTTGGCATATTTTACGCTAGGTTGTGTTCCTTTGTCATATTTCAAGTCCTAGCACATAAAGTGAAGCATAGGCGCAAGTTTCAAGTCAATCAGAGATCAATTGGCGATTCGGGAGTAGAAACTCGGGCATGACCTGAAGAAGAATGGATTTCTACCTCACTTTATGGACAAAGAATCATGCAAGCTTGTCATGAAAAGAAAGAGGACGAGACTACGAGCGTGTGAGATCAAACGGCGACTGATTCGGAGTCCGGACGAGGGAGAAACGAAGCATTGAATATAGGGGAACAGGTTCGGCAGTAAAAACACGGGCACGCCTAAACCAAAACACGGCCGTGCCCATATTTAGGCACGACCGTGTTTTGGCCAACGCGCCCGGGCGTGTTTTTAACATGGGGGCAAAACACGGGCGGGCAAAACCAAAGCACGGCCGTGCCCGCGACCGTGTTTTGCCCAGAATCGGGTTTTTTAACCCAAATTCGAGCCAAAGGAGAGGGGGAGCTGGGTTTTGGATCCCAAACACCCAAGGGACGAACCAAAGAGAGAGAGGGCGATTTGAGGGCATTCTTGGAGTGGAATTGGAGGATTTCTTCGCCTTGGAAGCTCGAGGAACAAGCCCGGACTTGAAGACTGATCATCTGAAGATTCTTACTGCAGTCTCTCTCTTCTCTATGGAGTAACTTCCCTTCACTTAGGTTTTGAGGAACCCTAGCTATGTTTGTTTGATTGGATGATTGTATGAGTACTCTGACTTGGTAATCTTGAGTTCATATTCAATCTATGCATGTTTTCATGATTCAATTCTGCTTTAGTCGAGATTATTGATTCTGCTTTGATCCTATGAGAGCGAATACCTGATTAGGTCAACAGAGCACCATAGATTGATAGTAGTGGATCGATTGCTTTAGTCGAGGGTTTATTCACTGCTTTGTATCGATTGAGAACCTCATTCGATAGAGGGAGTCTAGTTCAGAACGCCTTGATCGGTTGTTCTAGAGAAGGATACGTCCCTCTAGGCAATTGACTCAAGAGGGCCTTGTTCCTTTAGTCGAGACTCAAGGTCTAGTCAAGGATTCTCCGCATTGTGAATGAAAGTGAAACAAGTTAGAAATCATCAATCGTTAGTCTGGCTAGTGGCTAGGGGGAATCATACCTAAGTGAGTTCCCAACCTGTAATTAGATTAACTTTAACTGTAGTTTGCTAAAGTAGTTTTAGTTCTTTCATCTTAATCTGGTTTGCTAGATAATGAACTGAAGCTGAGTAATAGTAACTCTAGAGACCCGTGGATTCGATATTTATTACTTGAGCCACTATACTGCAGTCCCTTTCATTGGTTACACTTGGCCACTGTTAGGAGTTGTGTCATAGCGAGTCAATCTCCGATGGGTACTCGCACGACCGAGAAGCAAAATTTAAATCTAGACGATGGGCTGCCACGTTATCCCACAGCTGATTCACCCACGGATCCCAAAAGACTAAGTAACTGCTGCCGGAAGCCGGACGGTACTGTTCATGTGGTACCATCATAGCACGGGGGATAATTTTTCGGTATCCAAACTGGCGCAGACAACGTGCAGGATCGTATCCCTCAGCAATGTCAGAAAGGCAAATGGGGCCAGTAAACAAGGAGCGAGGTATATCTATGTGGCCATCTCGTCCGTACGGAGTCCAGGTTACATCATCAGCTGAAAGCTTATCCAACAACTGTCGATAACGTGCTAACCTCTGTCTAGCATCATCCTTACCTGGCAAACGGGGAGAAATCCACGAGGAAGCACGAGGTGCATCCGGAGACTACGGCAGCTGGCTCGGACGGAATAGAGGAAAGTACACATATATCAAGTGAGACAATCATGTGGCTTCAACCATCTCCTTGGAACCCTCTGCACTCCACTTATATCGCCTCAAAGTCTCTACAGTTTTCGGCCTATGGAAGCCGTCCAACACTCCACGGTCGTGCTCAGGGGAAGTCCACAGTACAAAGCCAATGTGACCTCCAAAGCTAGGGATCACATCGGGAATCATTGGTCCACCTGAACACATCGGAGACTCGGATGTAAGAAACCACGACATATCTTTCCTCGTGGTCTTCCTCTTCCTATTTCCATCTCCGCCTTCCTCGCTACTAGGTCTGGACGCATAGCGTCCATCGGGCCCACGGAAGTGTGAGGAGGCAGTAGAAGATATCCCGACCCGCGCCGTCTTCCCCACGCCTAAATCAGCTTGAGGTGGGGCATCCCCAACCTCCGCATCGCCAGCAGCATCACCAGCATCTGGGGCATTTCCAACCTCAGCATCACCGTCATCATCGTCAATGGAATCACTGCAATTAGCCTGCCATGCCGGTGCGCTCTCTGGTGTAGGAGTACTCGTAGTACCTCGACTAAGAGACAACTGCCCCACAGTAGGGTGGCCGTCAGGACGTACTACATCCGCCTTCTTCTTCCTCCTAACCTTAGGTGGATTTTTTTCTTCATTTTCCTTCCTACCAGTCGCCGTAAGTCTACACCGACGACCTTCCATTCTCTCCTTATTTCTCGCCTTAATCATATCCGGTTTACCCATTCCATGTCTAGACATCCTCAAAAAAAAGTTTGAATTATTAATAATGGAGTACATAAAGTAATTAATTTAAGATTTTCATAATTAAAATTAAAAAACTAATAGTTTGAACATTTATGTTACGTTTTATGTAATCATTATTTACATAAAAGTAAATAATTAATCAATGAAAAATTATTAATAATTAATTAGATAAACGAATCACTTTGAAATTTTGATTATTAAAATGATAAAATACATTTTTAATTTTTTAATAATGTTCTAAATTTTTTATCATTAATTAACATTTATCGAATACGTTTTTAAAATTTTATATCATTATTGACAAAATATATAACTAAATTATTTTTATTAAGCATATTTTTTTGATCATTTTTATTATTATTAACATTTATTGAATAATAAAAACACAGAATATTAAAAAAATAGAATATAAAAAAAAGCAGTCAAACCGTGGTCAACGGGCGGTTGGACCGACGGTCAACCGCGGTCAACGTGCGGTTGAACCAACGGCTGACCGCGGTCAAAGCGCGGTTTGACCATCGTTCAATCGCCCTTTGACCGCGGTCCGCCGTTGGTGCAACTGCATGTTGACCATCGGTCGAACCCCGCGTTGACTGCGGTCAGCCTATGGTCAAATTGCGGTTTGACTGCGGTCTCACCTTCTTCTCCGGCGAGGCTGGCGCGGGCGGCGAGGCTGACGCGGGCAAGGACGGCGGCGAGGCTGGAGCGACGACCTTCTTCTCCGGCGACGGGAACAGCGCGCGACGGGAGCGAGACGGCGGCAACGGGAGCACTAGGCCGGCGACGGGAGCAGGAGGCCGACAGGAAGGAGTTGCAGAGGGGGAGGGGGTTCCTGGCGGCGGGAAGGAGTTGCAGAGGGTGGAAGGGAAGAGGGAAGAGTCCCGCTGGGAAGGAGGGTGAAAGGGTTGTTTGGTTGTTGCAATTTTTCAATTTTCATTAAGGGTATATAGATAATTTGACATTTAAGTTAGGGCGACGTTTAGCAATTCTTAGGGCGACATTTAGCAATTCAGTAAAGAAACCCCCATAGATGGTTTCACATTACCATCAACCAAACGAATAACTTTTACCAATTGTTCAAAAACCCTAAAACAAAGGTTTACACCTATCTAAAATGTTGCATTTAACATTGTTGTTACTTCCTTGCCCTTCTTTGTGTGTGCAATTTTCATGCGCTCCCACTTCCTATCCACCACCATCTTCGTAAGTGCATCCTATGTATCTGATCGCTTGCGCGATCGAGCTTTAAATTTATCAAGTCAAAGCACATTCTCTATTCAAACCTAACTAAACCAAGCATAACCTATCTAGGGTTGTACTAAAGTGGCTCGGTTTTATTCCAAGAGATCCCGAAGTTTACTATTACTTCGCTCTGAACTACTATCTAATCGAATCGGAAGTTTGGTGAAGAGTCTAATCTAATCGAATCCTAAAGGCAAAATGAACAACCAATCTAGTGGTCGAAAGGTCGCAAGAGATGAGACGGTTTCCTAGGGTCGAATCCTCCTAGCTATAGTTGTCATGTAGGGTTAAGGGAATGTGGTGAGTGATCTCTTTTTTGTGGGCTTTCATGGTTATCCACACGCCTCCGAGTATGCCTCTCCTAAACCCATATAAGTCACCTCCATCTAGGCTATCCCTATTCATACATCTAACCTCAATTTGCTTGATGGCGCATACCCTTTTGACTCCAAAACTCCAAACCCAGCGTAGAAGCTTAAAGTAGGCTAGTATTGAAGATTATGGAAACTTACCAAAACACAATCAAAGCTAGAATATCATTCAAATCACCTAGATAAACACATTCATATGTAACTGATTTGTGCATAATTGTACATGTTTTACCCCCATTTTCCTTAGGCGTTTGTGGCAATTGCGCTCCTAAAGGGTGGTTTCACGCTAGGTTTCTTGTGTTTTAGCGTGTTTCAGGATCTAACCGCTGAACCCAGCCTTGGAGTCGAAAGTTGGAAGAAAAGGAGCAAAGAGCAGGAAAGAAGCTGTGTCCAAGGTCTTCCATTGGAGTTCACAGTGTTACAGTACCGTGAACTGGAGCCAAAATTCGTGAACCGCGAAGCGTCCAGGGCGAATCTAGATATTACTGACGCCGAGTGAGTTCACGGTTGCTAAGATCGTGAACTCTAAGCACAAATCGTGAACCGTGGATGTGAAGCGGTGCGTTTTGGTCACAACAATGAGTTCACGGACGCGTTTCAATGTTCACGGCCGTGGACTGAGGCCTAAGACCGTGAAATGCTCAACGCGTCCTTAAACTCAGCTCTAAGACCTTGAACTAAGCCTGATTTGGGTATAAAAGGGGCTCAAGATAGGGTGCATAACCATGGGTTATGCACCCATCAATAACCAAATCTGGACCATTCATTTAGAAAATCTAAATCTAAGGATGGAGAATTAAAGACCATTTTTATTTTCCCTAGTTTTCTTAATTGACTCATATCTTTTTCGTTCTAACTCGGATTTAAATTTTTTTGCACAGATGGAACGAGTTCATCGTGCTCTACAAAATGAGATCAATTTTCAATATTTATTGAGAGAAAAAAATTCCGACCTCTCGGTACCAACTGCATAATGATATCTATTGGATCTACAAATTTCTAGGGTGAACAAATTACAGGACCAAAAAATACCACACAATACCATACAATACCACCCTGGTACGGGGTGATATCTTATGGTATACAATGTTAAAAGTCATAAATGACAATTAATATACTTCTACTTTCATGTATTCAACCATCCTACATATTTGGTTTGTGTCATACCACCATGGTACGCTTTTCAAACCATAGGTATGCTCTTATTTCAATACCAGTCAATACCATATGGTATAGACTGGTAAAAAATGGCTCAATTTTTTTTTATCGGAAAATATATCAAAGTGGATATCATTTTGAAGAGCATCATTAATCTGATCTAACTGTGCAAAAAATAATTTCGGCTTAAAACGAGTGAGAAATCGTCCGTCAAAGATTAAGGAAGGGAAAATTAAAGGATTTCTAAGAGAGTATGGGGATGTCATGCTGATGTGGACGGGTTACTCATGGTTACTGACCTGATCCGTTCCCTATAAAAGGAGAGGGGAGTTGAAGGAGAAAAGGGAGCTTCATTTTTAGGTGAGGTTTTCATTTTTCAGAATAAAGAGGATTCTAGTGAGAGATTAGGAGAGTCCAATGAGTTAGAAAGCCTTCTTCAGATTTTAGAGAGAGAAAGATGAACCAAAGGAGAAGGAGGCTAGGGTTTTGCTTCACGAGTGGATTTGGGAAGATTCTCCCCAGGAAAAGTTCAACACAAGTGTCAAGAAGATTAGAAGCCTCCTTCATAATGGTTTCTACCTCTTCCCCTTGCATTAAGGATTGTGCATATGTGTGCTTAGCAATCTAAGGATTGTGCTTAGCAATCTAAGGGTTGTGCATGTTGATGCTTAGCAATCTAATTAGCCACTTAACCTAGATTAGAGAGGAAAACCCCCCTCAATAGGAGCATACCATATGGTAAAAATGCATACCATGATGGTATGAACATACCAAGGCTGTAGGAAGGTTGAATATATGATAGTAGGAGTACACTAACTGTCATTTACGACTTTCATCATTGTTTATCACCAATTACCACAAGTTACCGCCCACCCCCATACCAGAGTGGTAAAGTATGGTTATTTTTTGTCATGTATTTTTTCCCCTAAAAATGTGGAGAACCAATAGATCATTATGAACTCGTTCCTTCTGAGCAAATATTTTAAAAAATGACTTAAAAACAACGAAGTTACCATATGGTATGAAGTTGGTAACGGGAGGTATGAAAAATAAATTCTCAAAAAATATTGAAAATTGATCTTATTTTGTAGAGAACAACGAACTCATTCCATCTATAAAAAAAAATGAATTCTGAGTTAGAACGAAGAAGATAAAAGCAGATTAAGAAAACTAGTGAAAATAAATTGCCTATAATTCACAACTCTAAGATCTGGATTTTTTGGGCTCACTTAAATCTAAAGGTACATATTTAAATACTCATAGGTCAGTAACCAATGATTACTGACCGTATCTTCAGCTGTAGGAACTTGGAAAGTGAATACAAAGAAACCTTAATCATTATCCAAGACGGCCAAATTAGAAAAAATAAGTAAA